TGGTTGTTTATTTGTTCGCTTGTTTGTTTAAGTATGCATGCATGCATGCATGCATGCAGATGAACGCATGTTCGTACGTATGTATGTATGTATGTATGTATGTATGTATGTATGTATGTATGCATGTCAATGTACCGATGGTGCTGGCTGAAAAAAGTACCTCCCCGTCCCGATACCTGTTAGGAGACTCAGTGTAGTGCTGAAGGGGTGACACATGCCACGTCATGCATTTCTAAGCCGGTGTCACTACATAAAATGTTGTTTCAGATGTATCTTGCATTCTTGAATGCACGGTGGTATCTCGTAGTTACTGCCCCTCGCGTGGTCCCGGGTAATGCTGCGTCGTGGATGTTGCCATGCGCCGTCACTTCATACGAGATGTTGTATATGGGTGCTCCATGGATGACATTTACCGCAGCATGCTCGGCAACTGAAAACTTGAAAACTTGGGTATGTCTTGGTTGTTGACATGATGAAGCAAGACTGGGAGTAGTCCCGGGTTGTGGGTTATGTAGGTCGTTGGGGCTTGAGCAGACCTTTCAAGGATGTCAAAACCTGCACTTAAGAGTAACAGCAACCATCGAAGACAAGTAAGCCCAGAAACCCTGAACTCAAGAACCCTAAACCAATAAACCCTAAGCGCAACAGCCCTGAATTCCGTAGCCCTAAACCCCAAAATCGGAAATTCAATGCAACAACAAAAGCGCAAACCGTAAACCACACAAAACCCTGACCCCAAGAACCCTAAGACGCAAAGCCGGAAACCTAAAGCCTATAATATCCTTAGAATAGAATCGTCTGACCCCTAAACCCCTAAACCCTAAACCTCAGAGCCAGGTGAAGCCGAGAAGTCGCTGTCGCACTTCCAGCAGTCGATGGCTTTGCGAAATAAGCTTGGCCTGAAGCGCTTCTTGGCTTAAAGGGTTTAGGGTTTGGGGGTTTAGGGTTTAGGGTTTAGGATATAGTCTTTCTTTTTTGAAGGGTTGCTTTGGATCTTTAGGGTTTAGGGCCTGGATTTTTAGGGCTTAGGGCTTAGGGCTAAGAGTTTAGGGCTTATGTTCAGGAGTTTTAGATTTACGGTTGTATGCAGAGGTCTCAATATCTGCCAAGAGTAATATTCCTTTGGGTTCTTCATGATACGTATAAAACACCCCCCCCGCTCGAATTATTGACTAGCACAGCCTTGCTGGGTGGCATGCTGTCCCTGTTTGGGTAACCTCTGAACCCTAGAACCGCAAATCCTACAGTGAGCCAATCTAACGACCGTGTCCCTGCAAGTATCCCAGAGACTCCAAAAGCCTTTAATTCAGGAATATGCCTCTAAAGCATCAGAAGGATCCCGCTACAATGTACGGGTTTAGGGTTTTAGGGGTTAGGATATAGGGTTACTCTAAGGGTCCATGTACCCAAATAGTACATACTTTGGCCTCAAAGTAGT